ATCCTTTTTGATTCTTCAAACAGCTCAGTGGCCTCATCAATCTTGAATAACTGTACACAAGCCAATCCCATCTGGTTCAACACAACCCCAAAGAAAGCTGATTTCCTCTCCCCACTTGTTCTAAGTTTTGTGACTGCACTCTCAAACGAAGCCCTAGCTTCTTCATACTTTCCAACCATGTAAAACATCACCCCCATTCGTGCTTCAATTCCTGCAATTGTGCTTTGCTGCCCCAGTTTATCCTCCAATAACTTCATTGCTTTCTGCAAGAGCTTCAGTGCCTCCTCAGGCTCATCCACAGACTCGTATATGGCTGAAATTTCAGTTAAGCCACTAGCAATCTCTTCTGCTGTAGTTCCAGGCACAGGTTTTGTATATATTCTCAGCGCATTTTCGCAATAGGACTTTGACTCCCTGAGCTTCCCTGTCCTGTGGTATAGGTCAGCAAGGCGTACAAAGACAGAGGCCACTGAAGGGTGGTTGTCGCCCTTTGATGATTTGAAAACTGTAAGTGCCTTCTGGTAGGAGAAGACAGCCTCATCAAAGCGACATAGAGACATATATATGTTCCCAATGCTAACGTCAATAGCAGCAACCTCATTCTCCTGTCCAGTCGCAATCATAGCCATGCTGGCGAGGACAAGGTGCTCAAGTGCTGCTTCGTAATCACCCGTTGCCTCACATATGAGGGCCATCAGCCGGCGGTCAGCTGCCTCTTCAATAGATGCTGGTTCACTGTGGGCACGATGAATTTCAAGAGTTTTCTTGCACAACTCTTCTGCTTTATCAAATTGCATTGCTTGAACATGGGCCTCAGACAAGTACCTGTCACATTAATATACTTAGCCAAGATCATAGATGCCTTAAAGCACACTAGTGATTAGTACAACCAACTATCACCCATATTAAGCTTAGCTAATCTACTATAGCTGCTGGTCTGGTATCTAAGATTATAGACAGTATGCAGAAGATTAAGGCATCTGTAAGATTCTAAGACTAAGCTCAGATATTTAAAATGTATTTCCACTGCTCTAGTTTTGATGCAAATTTCACAAAAAGCTAGTCATTTGCAAGACTTGGTTAAGATCTTCACTTTTTCTTCAACCCAGAAAACAATGTCCCCCTCTTCTTTTCCAGGGGAAGAAAAAAAAATCCAATTCTGCACCTTTCACAATATGGCACTAACACTCGATGAAATCATGAATGAAACAAAAACAAGCTAACCTGCAAGTCTCACCAACTCTGGGATCAGTCTCTCCCAGAGCCTGGATTTGAATCTCGAGACCTTCCTCATAACATCTGATTGACTTCTCCACCTGTCCAAGCATGGAGTACGTATCCCCAAGCTGCATATGCCCCGAAAACGCCGCAAGTGCATGATCGGGGCCCCGACTAGTGTCAGGTACCTGAATCGCCCTCTCCAGCACTGGCACTGCTTCCTCGAACCTCCCCAAGCTGCAATAGATCGCCGCTAGCACGTGCAAACTCATGACGAGATCCAGGCTTGGCTCGCCTTCCACTTGGCACCTCTCGAACGATTTCGTAGCCCGAATGGCATAGTCTAGAGCCTTAATCGGACCCTCACCAGACGCAATGGTATCGCGCGCGAGCTTGAGCAAGAAGGGACCGAGATCCGGATTGTCTAGAGAGGAATCATCAAAAATGGGAGAATCAGGAGGGGGCTTTTTAGCGGAGCGAGCAGGAGAGGGTTTAGATCGGGAGGGAGATGGTGATGGAATTCTCTTATTGGGTGTCCTGGGGGGGATCGAAGAGGTTGGTTCGGGAAGTGAGATTCTGAGGGGAGGCGCGTCCGGCGGAGACTTAGCAGCAAGACCCGGCATGGATTTGAACTCAAAAGAGAAAAAGCTCGAAAGCCCTGGAATCTCAGATTCAGAGAGAATGAATCAAAGATCTGAGAAAGGGAGAAGAAGAAATTAGGAGAGACAAAAGGCAACCTGTTTTCTCTTCTTCAAAGTGACACGAACGACGGGGTAAGCGGAAACGGAAGGTTTGAGGTCCACTGTTCACGTCAACTGTCAATAAGAGTAGAGTAGTAATTGTGTTAGAAATAAAAGCCCCCATCAAATTTTTTTTTTTTTTAGTACTTTTCTTCTATTGTAGTCTTTGAGGATTGCTTGGTTAATTAACTTTTAAGTCGTCAAACTTTTCAGGTCAAGCATTTAGCCCCAAATTGAACCAAAAAACACTCCTACTACAAGTCAAGTGGGATTTACATTTCCAATTTCTTTCTTCTTCGTAAGAGCTGTTTGGTTGGAAACAATTGACTTTTCCTTTCCCTTGTATAACAAGAAAGTTTAGAATTTAAGAAATATTAATGTATTTAATAATCTGAATTACATTGAATTATATAACATAAATTATTAAATAATTAATGTATCTTCACTCATCAAATATATATAAAGTCTTTTTTTTCTTTCCTAAAGATGTTAATCTCATCTCTTAAAAATGACAATTAATTGACAAACAATTGTGTTTAGGGTAATGATACAGTGGACGAATAAAGAGGACGAAATTATGAGATGAATGATATGGTAAGTCATGTCATTAATATATAAATTTTTTAAAAATTTAAATCGAATAATTTTGCTAAGGTGGCGTATCATTTTATAGTTATCCCGTCAAATCATCCCCTTCTTTCGTCTTTCTCATCATTATTCTTGTGTCTTGTGTTTATAAGGGTAAGGGAAGATTTGAAGAATAATTTTGTTTCCATCTTCCCCATTGTCAGCAGCCAATTTTTCTCAATACTTCGACTTGGCCGGCCTTCTTGTACACCGAAATCATTTACACCAACTATGTAGAAGAGATTCAGAATTAACCAAACACCTATGAGAAAAAAAAATTTTTTTTTTGAAGCATTTATACCCGTTCCACAACAGTCACCAGATGAAATGTCAAACATGTATAACGTCTATACAAATCAACATATTGTCTGAAAAACTCATCAACAATGTGCAAAATCCATTCCAACTTTGGTGCTTTCTGGTAAGGGCGACTGGTATTCATAGTCTGCAAAATCTAATTTGGCTCGAAAATTATTGGTGCCAGACCCAGACAGTTGCCTCACGAAACGAGTAAAACGAACCCAGTTCTGATAATCAAACATGTTTTTGTCCATTCTCTCGAAGCTGAATGAAAAGGAAGGCATTTCTTGACCATCTGAACAAAACTTTGCCATTTTAAGCACTTGCTGGAAAGATCCATCATCTAAGGTAGGAGCAAAATTTTCACCCTCCATGGGAATATGACAGAATCTTGCAGCCAGAAGAAGCTGTCTAAGAAATCCCTCTGGCCTACTGAATGGGTTCACCTCTTGCTCTTCCGCATCTTGCATATCAAAACCAGTGCAACACAAGGTAAAACCATACCTAGCCAACATTCGAGCAATAAGAAGATATCCATCCCTGAAGTCGGTGTTATAGTAGCCAGCAGTTAGCTCAGATGCATGAGACTGTGTGCCATAGTGCCAGTGAATCCCAGCCACTTTTGCTAACATATTGACTTCAGCACCACGAAATATCGCCTTAGCTTCACGACAGATGTTCTCCCCATGAAGAAGAAGCATCCCAGAGTACCACTCAAGAAAAAATTTCCCATATGGTGTATTCCAGGAACCATGAGTTTTGAAAAAGTCAGTATCCTCAGGATTCTGCAACAAATTGCTAGCACCAATAGGACCCCCATTTCCCCACTCAGGCTTGCCAGCATCTTGAGCACGAGCATTGAGAGATGCAAGCATATACTGTGCAAAGCAGCACAGGGAAAAAGAAACAAATTGATATCATAGGTATTGAGGTCACAATGAATAAAGTAACTCAACAAGGGTATGTGTAGAGGTTCGCAAAGCACATAAACAGTGCACAACCCTTCTAGTTACCTTATCATAGCACTGAAACTCTCCAAGTTCACGTGTGCGCCAAGGCCAAGTTAGCTTCCTTGAAGGGCATGAAGGATACCTTAGTTCACCAGCAGGACCCATCCCAACTTGGATTCCCTGCCAAAAAAAAGAACCATTACAACAAAGTACCAAAATTTTTATTTATCTGATACTCTGCAATTGTGCATCAATGACTAAGTGAAAAATAAAATAAACAATTATGTTATGGCAACATCTTACTGTAATGACAGCACCAAGCAAAGGCCAAAAAGCATCTCTGAAGGCCCTCATAAAATCTGCATACGCCTGAATTGGTGAGCGACCCTGTAGGACAGGAAGAGTATCACATCCAAGGGAGATATATTCTATGTTTTTTCTCCCAAATCTGTCAGAATATGCTAAATCTGGATTTTTATTAATCTCCTCAAGAACCCACAAAGGGAGAGGAATCCTTGAACACAAAAAAAAGGGAAGTCTCAGAACCTCAAAGAAAAATGCACAACAGGACCTAAGGAGGTAATTCAAGGTAAAACTAACAGATCCAATATGAATAAAATAACTCTTAGGTTGAACAATATATGGGATTTGGTACCCTTAGTTAGTGTTACCGGTCTTCTTGATATTTTTGTTTCTTATTCATTTTCTCTTCATTCTCCCACCACCTTACTTGATAGTATATATTATCCAGAAAAAGTGAGGAAAAGAACCCCTGTTCCAATTTGACTCATCAAGCCCCATTATATATTAATTAGATCTTCATCCTCATGGATGAATAATACTTATGTTCATTAATTAAAAGTAGTGCTCCTCTTACACAAATTGATGAATATGATTTTCGTGTAATCACTTAATTTTACATCATCGTTGTACTATCCCACGTCAAATACATTACAGACAAGCTAACTATACCATTTTGATACCTTAATTAATAAAATCTTGTTTCTTAATTTGCCAGGAAAAGATATACTACAAAATTGGAAACTTTATATTCTGATTAATTATTCAACAGATGAAACAATAAAGGCAAGCAGAAGCAGATAAATAACTACAAATAATCTTGATCCTTGAAAAAAATAAATGGAAAGAGAGCAAATATAATATGACAGCTGATAAGGAAAGTGGTAAACCATACATCCAATCCAATCCAATCCAAGAAATAAAAGAATTGAAAAGAAGAAAGAATGTCACAATCCACATTTTTTTTATCTTTATTGTACTACCAAATCCAAATTCAAAAGAAAGAATCTGAAAACATCTGCAGAAAATTAGGAAGAGACAGAGCTTTTTCAATTCAAGAATGTATCAACAATATTTGTTTGGAAAAGCAATTTGTTAAAATTAAAGAAGAAATCAGAGGCAGGCACGCACTCACCAGTGAGGGTCTCCAGGTCCTGTACCACACTGATGAAAAGCCAAAATAACCCGAACCTTCAAACCGCAGTGTTTGGCCATTGCAATGAGCTCCTTATAACCTTGCCAAATGTAAACCTTGGGTGCGTCCCGCTCAACGAGCCCCCACCAGACTTCCAAGACGACGCCCTCAACCCCAGCGGCGACGAGAGCACGAAAAGACTGTTCCATGGTCTTACGCCTCCGCACCTGGGCGGCAGTGGGGCCAACCGCATCCAGGGGGAGCTTGACGAAGACGGGAGTCCCCTTGGGGCCCGGACCCCGACCGCGGCCCCTGTTGAGGTGGTAGCGGAGGTCTCCATTCTCAGAGGGATTGGAGGAGTTGAGGCGAGAGGAAACGGAGAGGGGTTTCAGCTTTAGAGATAGAGAAGGGCGGAGGGAGGGAATGAAGGCAACGGTGGAGAGCCGGGGTAGACGAGTGGAGAGATCGGCGGAAGTAGAGCAGAAGGAGCGAGTTGAGGAGGAGGCGATCGCCATTGAA